ACACTCCGACGCCTAAGAAACCAGGCACAAGATAAGACACGTCCAACACAACAAATATTATCAACTAATTTAAATATATATCTAAAAGTTCTTCCACTTTTACAGCCATGAATCAAGAACAACAAGACAATCTGAAAAACGTCCGAAAACAAGGTAATATAAATATTTTTATAATATTTATTTCATATTATAGAATTTAAATATCTTTAATTTTCTTAACACTTATATTTACAAACATTTTTCCCATTTTTATATTTGCAGCTGAAAAATAGGAAATGCTCAAGAAACACAACAGCGTTGTATTTTATTTTGTACAATCTGTATATATATTATAAATAATAATACTACATATATCTATGCAAATATGTTTGTACAAATTTTATATCTATCATATAATACAACACTGTATAATATATGTGTACATATAAATGCATTTTAAATAATAATACTGTGTATATCAATATAAATATATTTATAAAATTTATACATCTATCATATAATATAATACTGTATTCCGCAACAACGTGCAGAATACAGGCTCGTTCTAATCTAAATCTATCTAAACGTAACAGATTTTTTCCTCTGTTGCCTTCTTTAACTTTTTTTTTTAATTTTTCTTCCTTTTTTTCTGCCAATTGTCTTTTTTTTTTTTTTCCCTAATTTTCGTTTATAGTTCATTTTTTTTTACAATATCCTTCTTTAAAATACTTCTTTTTCTCACTTTCTTTAATTAAAATCATTCTTTTCAAATATCTTCATACTTAAGTTTTTTTAGATCAAAACCTCCTATATAACTTTAATTCTTTTTTGATATGATTTTTTAAAATATATATATTTTTCTCTTGTTCTAATTAATGGACTAGTTTTTAAAAAAGTGCGTGTTTTAACGCGGGATCAAACTTATAAAGTTATGTAAGTGGCTCAACTAATATATAAAAAAAAGGAGACAATATATATTCTATATTTTTCTTTTCGCTTATTGTTAATGAGCAGTAATTAAAATAGGTTCGTGATGGGTTTTGTTAAAACTTATCTCATCTCATGATTAGTTGCAAAGTGATCAGTTAGTGTCTGCAGAGAAAGATTTGGTTGTTTTGTTAAACAAGGACAAACACCAATATTGTGTATACGATAATCTGGTGGAACTTGATAGATTTGGGTTCACACATCCGACATTGACCTTTACAAGCTTAATTTTTTCTTTTGGCATAAGAAGCAACATTATTGTTGTTATTTAGTTGCTTTCATCTGATTTTGTCCTTTATTATATATTGATATTAATATAATTGAATAATTATGGATAACTATAGATACTGTATTAAGTACCTAATTGTCATGATTCACCCAAAAAAAAATTACATAATTGTTGAGAGTTTTTCTGGGAGGATAAAAAAAATGATAATTTTTTACTTTCAATCGTCAGATTTGTATCAAAAATTATTTATTTTGTATACTTTTTAAATCTAAGATGATTTTAAACGTATCTAACAGTTAAAAATTAGCCTACCAGTAGAGGTTCAAATGGAAAAAGTTCTATAACTATTATGGGTCATAAAAGGGGCATCTTTTGTTGTAGTACTATTCATCGAACATGATAATTTCGTTAACAATATTTGTAACAAAGTTATGTTGATTATATCTATATTTAGGTTCAATGGTCGAGATTTTTTGTACAAAATAAGTGGGAAGAAAGTAATGTTCGTTGGAGATCCTTTGAGTTTGAATCAATGGCAATCTCTCACTTGCATGCTCCATACAGCCGACCCAGAAGCCCAATACACTTCGGTCAGGACGGGAGGCCTCTCCACATTCTCATTTCCTGTGAGTAATGTTACTCATATTTAACTAATCTCTTGGTCATGAACTTTTGGGTTAACTTTCTAAATATTACCGTCAATCTCACTTTTTCATGACTTTTAAAACGGTTCAAATTTAATTAATAATTTTCACATTTCGTGACATAAACTTAACATTTATAGCACTCAATTTAAAAAAAAAAAAAAAAAAAAAACCCTCATATATATATTTTTTTTCCTTTCTGTACAAAGATGGCCAAATATTTTTTAGAGAGTATTCTAATAGAATGTTTTTGATATTCTACCAAGACCAAATAAATGTAAAGCTATTGGAATTTGATGGCATCCTACGTAATTTTCTCCCTTGTAACGACATGACTACCTTTCTCATTTACGTGAAATAAACATGCCCTTAAAATCATGATCGGTAGCTAACAAATCATAATCTTATATATGTTAATTATGAAATCTGATTAATCAATAATTAATATATTATAATCAATGTGTACTCCCAATTAGGCATATACGGCGGAGGTGATGCTCTCTCGCAATTCCTATCTAGTTGACATCATAAGAACAAGAAATGGCCGAGTTCTCAAACTTGACTCAATTACAAGCGGGAAACAGTGGAAAGGAGTTGATTTAATCTAATCTTCAATTCACGGCACTGGTGGCTTCACACTGGAAGAAAGCAACCGTACGTAGGAATTTTAATTATTAATAATGTTATTCACTAATTATTCATTACAAAACCCAAGTCATATTGATTAATATTTATCATGAGTACATTTTTTCTTTTTAAAGTTTTGCAATATTGTACGTTATTATGCAGATGGGATTTTATTCAAGAAGAGAATAATACATGGAGAGACATGAATCGGTTGGTTGCATATAAGAAGGCACTGAGAATAGTGCTGGAACTTTGGACGGGCCGCCCGCGACCGCCCGAAAAGCCCGAGTTTTTGCCCGAGCCCGAGCTGCCCGAGAAATTCGGGCCGCCCGCCCGAGCCTGAATTTCACCTTGAATGGGCCGCGGGCTTGTATTAGGCGGCCTGAGCCCACTCAAATTGCCTGAATTATTTAAACTTTTTTTTAATATTAAGTTATTTTGTGTTAAAATTTATATATATATATATATTACAATTTGAAATTTGAAATGAACACACGAACTATATAAAAAAATTCTTTCTTTATTAATTTTTAAATTTATAATTCATGATTACCTCATTAAAAACTTTACTAAAAAAAACCCAATTATGATAAAAACTTAGCAAGGAAAAAAGAGTGCAATCATATTGTGACGAATTATAAATTTTACAAACTTACAAAGTTATACAATTACAAATACAATGTCAAAGGTAAATACATATTTACAAATTACAAATTTATAATTTAATTTAAAGCTAAATGATCGTCTTCAAAATTAAATGTTAATCGATTAAATTCATTGATCCATTATTGGCTTGCCGGTGAAATTATATCTTGTAAATGTTGATCGGTCCGATCCCAATCCTTAATACAAACCAAGACTTCAACATTGAGTGACTGGTCTTTTAAAATAAAGATCATCAAATAACGATGAAGTTATTAAACCAAGCCAATCATTGAGTGACTTTTGATAAATTATCAATTTACTTTAGTATGCTAGTAAAAAGTTACTTTGATATAGAGTCACAAAGAGAGTGAAGAAAGTTGAAGAAAAAAGAGGATAATTAAGAGGATGATGAGAGATTATGAACAGAAAATAGATAAAAATAGAAAGAAGAGTGATATAGAATAGAAAAATACGAGTATCTATAAAAACAAAACCAACATTATATAAAAACAACACTTTTTAAAAATAAAAAATAATAAAAACGTGATGGCAATATGTTTCTTTCCTTGTGTATATAGTTTTTTGAAGAATCCTTTTATCATGTGATTAATTATAAAAAAGGGTCAAGAATGTGAAAATTAAAATATTAAACTACTAAAATAGAAATTTGCTCTTTCTATTAAGGAATTGTGTGTTTACCTTAAGTCATGTGATTAATTATAAAAAAGGGTCAAGAATGTGAAAATTGAAATATTAAACTGCTAAAATAGAAATTTGCTCTTTCTATTAAGGAATTGTGTGTTTACCTTAATTAAAAAGTTAAAAATTTAAATAACAAATATGGGCATTAGGTCTAGTGGTATGATTCTTGCTTTGAGTGTGAGAGGTCCCGAGTTCGATTCTCAGAATGCCCCAATTTGTAGCAACTAATATTTTCGGGCAGTTTTGGGCAAATCGGGCAACTCGGGCTTCGGGCAAAATTCGGGTTTTCGGGCTTATTTTCAAGTCGGGCAATTCGGGCGGGTCGGAAAATTCAAAAAAATACCGGCGGACGGCAATATAGGGCGGTTAGACGACGATGGGCAAGAGAGTCAGTGTCAAATTCGGGCTGCCCGAGCCCGAACCCGAAAATCTAGCTTGGGCGGGCAGGAGATGGGCTTGCCCGCCCGAGCCCGAATTTTTTCAGGCTTCGAGCAACCCACCGACCCGAACTTCCAGCACTGACTGAGAACATGGCTTCAACAGGTCGACTTCAACATCGACCCCACAACAACCAAGGTCTTCTTCCAGGGAATTTCCACTACAACAAATATCAGTATCAGTAGATGACCAAAAATGCTATTAATCACTAGCAATAACGTTTTGGAGTGAGTTAGAGAAAACATAGCTTCAATGATGCACTAGGTAAAAATTTAATGTCAAACTTGTAAGACAGAGAGCATCTTACATGTATTGTTATGTAGATAGTTGGAGAAAACATGAATCTTCATTGCCTACATTTAAACCCGAAGAAGAAAGAAAGGAAAAAACCTAATGACGACTCCTGCATAAAACCGTTCAACAAAGCAAAGCAAAATAGCAAAGAATTTCATTAATCACAACAAGAAATTCATTATCACAACAAAGGATTTAGCAAGGGACCCAATTAACAAAAAGAATCCAAAAGTACATAAGCAAAGAGTAGTACGGAGGGATCTTAAGAAATGATAAAGCTAAAAGTCTCTAAAGAACCTTAACAAATAAATATTAGTCGTATGCAACATATAAAGCACAAGTCCAAATACCAAAAAAAAAAAGGGGAAAAAACAAATGGTTTCGTAAGATGATAAAGCTTACCTTAGCCACACTCCTATTTTCACAAGTCCAGATTCCAAAGATCATATATACATCTCTATGGGTGTATACAACACATAAGGCTGTATAAGACAGTTCATCAACAACACTTCTGTTAAAGGCTGTATAAGAAAGTCTAAAGACCTTTAGCTTCAAAGCTCAACAATATAAAAGAGTAACCAAAACGTCTTAAAATCCCTAGCTTTATAATTGGTTTTATCTTGATTGTTATGCTTGTAGATAGAAGACCTCACTAAGGGAGCAAATTCAATATTATGAATGAATGGAACAATCAACAGAATTTAACTCCAAATGAGCTATGGATGCATAATATTAGCCCAAAAGTAAGAATGGCATAATAGTAACACCATTTTTTTTATCAACTTGAGCAAAATATAAGAACAGAAAACTTCATTAAACCTGAGGCAAATGACGACTAGCTCCGTTTCTTGTTCCGGTCCAACAACGGGAACATTATCCTGCCTTTCTCCTGCCGTGGAAGGACTTCAGCCAGCAGTCTTCACTCAATAGAAGACTAAATGACAAGAGACCTAAATGCCAACAAGCAACTAGTTAAGTATAGACTACTTTTGACTCTAATTACACCATCACATAATTAAAATCAAACAAGAGCTAACAAAGTAATAAACTGCCAACATAGCTTCAAAAAGAATACTCCTACAAGTACAAATAAATCAATCAACTGATAATCAAATCCAGAATTCATTCCCTTTCGGCTTTACCTTGGAGGAAATCATCTCAGCCGTGGCAATCTTAGCAAGCTTAGCCTTGAAAGAAGGATCAAGATCCTTCTTGTCCAACGCCCGAACTCCAAATGCCATTACTTGAAAAACACCAGCCATGTTCCCAAAGCGCTAAAAAAATCAAAAATGGAGGAAAACAAGAAAAAACAATCAATGACAAAAGAAGAACGGGAAATGATGAGAAAACTAAACACAAATTCCATAGACAAGAAAATCACCCGACGTCCTCCTCGTGAAACCGCCGAGCAACAGTCAAGAACCAGAAGCAGATTCCTAGAATCGAAAAAACTCCATTAATTAATTCCAAAACTTCAGAAGTTAATGTATATGAAAATATATATAGAGAGAGTACAGAGCGGTGGTTTGCTCGAGAGAAGCCATCGAGGCCTCTCTGACCATGGGAGATTCATCGGCAAGAGAAGAAACCAGAACCTGGACAGCCTCTGAGAACAGCGAATTCGAACACGAACGAAGAATTCAGAGATCAAATGGTGGCGGAAGAAAACTGGAAGCGAAAATGCAGTACACGAATTCAACAGTAGTACAATTCATCGAATTCAACAGCTCTACACCTTTGGGAGTGAAAATGCAGTACACGAAATTTCTAAATAAAATAGAGAAATGGAGAATAGAGAGAGTGAAATGTGAACCTCTTTGGGTAACGGAGCTTGGCGTAGGAAGAGAGCTTCACGGGCCTTCGATCTTCCTTCCCCGACCTAATCTTCACAAAATCATGTCGAGGCTGGCTCAGAGCATCTTCCTTCCACGACCTAATCTTCACAAAATCACGTCAACGAAAAAAGAACCAAAAGGGGGTGAATGACCGAGCGGGAAACGTAAAATTTGGGGGCAAAATTTCAGAAATGGAGAACATACAAAGATAGAGAAATGCTAACCTCCTTGGGTAACCGAGCTTTGCGTAGGAGGACAGCTTCACGTGCCTTCGATCTGCCTTCCACGACCCAGTCCAAAATCATGTCGAGGCTGGAATTAGAGCATAACCTTCCGGTCAAGCAAAGCAAATCAATTTGGACATCAGAGCATAACGGGGAAATTTTGGAATTTGGGGGAAAGAGAGGAATGAGTGAGGTGGAATCGAGTGAGTTTTCTTTTTCCTTGGCCGGGTAAATGCTTCTTTGTCAGAATAGGAGAAGTGGGAATTTAGGGCTTCTTTTTGTTCCTTGTTCATATGGGACTTGGAAAGATTGGCAATGGAGGCTCGTCGGCGGCAAGATTGAGCGACGGGAACGATAGAGAGGAAGCAGTGGAGGCCTCTGGTCTAGAGTGGAGAAGCTTTTGTTCGCATGGGAATTTGAGCAGCAAGCAGAGCAAAAAAAAAAACAGGTGATCAGGGGGGAATGAAGCGGCGGGAATTCGGAAATTTGGGGAAACATGAGCAGCAAGCAGAGCAAAAAGAGCGCGGGGGATTTAGAAATTTGGAGAAACAATTTTTCCACTGCCCAATCATTCTAATTCTAATGTGTACAGTAATATATATTTAAATATATATACAATAAACCAGTTAAAATTTTATTAACTTATATATATACATATTATAACTAATTTGAAACATTATTATATATAGTCGAAAAAACGTTTAATAACGTTTTTTTAAAAACACTATAACTAACGGTTATAAAAAACCTGTTTTGTTGTAGTGTTTCCCTTATCATTCCAAGTAAGTTGTATTATAATGTTATTAGGATTAGTATGTGAAAGACCAATATTTGTAATATTAATTAGCATCAATACTCATAGGCAGGGCAGCATCAAACATATATATATATATATATATTATATTATATTCTAAGTTGTAAGATGGGGTTTTAATGCAAGAATTGATTTAGTTAACCCGAGAGGTCCAAATCCAGCACAGAAAGTCGTGGAGGAAGTGCTACAAAGTGTATCAAAGCCAGTCCATTTGTTGAATATCACCTCACTTTCACAGCTGAGAAAAGAGATGGTCATCTTTCTGTCTATTGCTATCAAGCCTAGCTATACGTATATACTATATATACACATATATATAGTAATGTATATGTATATGCATATTATATGTTAGATTGTGAATTTTGCTCGCATCATTAAGTTATTGAGCTGCTCGAATATTTATATGTGGTTTGTACACCCTTTCTTTTTAACTTAGTTTTGGACCCATTTGACATTATATTATTCATACATTTATTATCTACATATGCGTACATATATTACATATTATATGAATTCTTAAAATTGGAGGGACGTATAGGAAAATTGGAAATTTATAAAATTAAAAGTCATGTAAAATTTATATGGACTTGCTAACGTATCAAAACTGCATGACCAACTTATTAGAGAAAAAGATATTATTATGAAATTATAAGAACCTTTGTGGCAAGAATTGCGTAATTAATGGACTTGACTAATTATGAGTCTGTCTTGTGCTCTGTTAATTAATGGGAGATGTCGAAATATAATAATGCACTAATTATTAACCTTTTTGTTTGAGACTTAAATTTGCTATCCAATTTTTAATGTCACAACTAATGTCTATCTAATAAAAATGGGGATGAAAAAAGTTTGTTAAAAAGAAATCTTGTTTTAAAAATAAGGTAGCACAATTTGATTATTAAACAACATAAATTTAGACATCAAAATTTGCCAGGTGATTTGAATCTGTTTGTTTGAGTGTCTTACCATCTTCATCATGAGTTGCTTGAAGAGGTTTAGCTGTCAAGTTGTTTGGTTAAAGTGCAATAAGAAGGGTATTAGGTAATTTCTTGACAGTGGACCTTGTGTTAATCATCAGCGAGCCCCTAGAATTTTGACTTTTGAGAAAGCTTTTTTTTTTTTTTTTTTTTTTTTTTTTTTTTTTTTTTTAAG